CCGCGAGTCCGGCCGTAAAATTGTCCGAGACGTGAAGAAAGGACTCATATTTTACTCTCAATTCAACATGTGGAAAAACTAATTTTTTCCTTCAGTATAAATATATTTTTTCTAGTGCAAATGAAAATTAAATTTTAAATCCAAAGATCTCTCCAATTTTCTCTAATATATTCATATTCTTCCACTGAGAATATAATTGCAGGTTCAAGTATTATCGTGACATAATTAGTAGGATATTTCATCACTTAGCATTTATAAAGTTTATAAGATCTTTTTGGGGTCAGATATTTGAGTCGTCCAATAACCTCTGAGAGCTCTAAATTTTTGCGTCCAATACATTTCACCAGAGCTACTTGTTTCCTACCAATTGCTATTCAGAATAGATTTTCACGATGGTAAAATTTAACATTGAAAGCTACGATAATAAATTCGATCGTCAACTACTGGGGAGCTTGAACATCTGAGTGAAATAAAGGAAATAATTATTCGAATCAGTTTTGTATCATTGACAGCTGATTAATTATTATATCAAGATGTTTCGAAGTCAGATCAAGCAGAAAAGTTTAACTTCTTGTGAATACCTGGATTGTGAACTAAGGTCGGGTAGATTATGTAGAGCAACACAAGACCAAAAAAAAGTATCCTGGAAACGCGCCGTAACAGTATACATATATTTGTAGTGCAAGGCTTCAAACACACTCACACGCATACCAAAAAAAACTGAAAAATATGTATAGGATTAGTTAAGCATTAGTTAAATTTGATAATAGGACGGAATTATAAATTAGGTGAGACATTAATTCAATTGTTTAACATAAGCCAAACTTACTTCGTGTATAGTTATGTTGTTAGATCTCATTGTAGCCAGGAATAGGAATGGCAGAGCGTGATCCCAATATACTGGATAGAAGTAAGACGTTTTCAAGGCCAGCCAATCACAGAGCTCAATCTGTTCATCTGAAATGAAAAAAAATAAAAAGCTAAAATCCGAGGTATGAAACCAGACAAATAAATTGCCAGCTCAAAAAAATGTATGACAATATTGTGATTTTTTTGAAATTTTTGAAATCCTGAGTACTTTGACATAGCATATCCGTCTGTAATATTACTCACCTAAATACCTTAGACGTTCTCTATTTGGAGAGTAATTAGATTTTTCATTCCTTATTGAAACGTTAGTAATTTCGTAATTCCACTTCGTAGAAATTTGGTTACCAAATAAATTAACTGACCATGTTCATTTACAATCTTCACCGAAGTTTCCAATGAAAAATGGCGTGGTTCATCTGAAGCAGGTTGACCCATCGCGTTGCGTGGGGTGGCGTCACAACCAGAACGCTCCACCGCTTTCGTTATAGCGACCGGACCATTCCAGGAGTAGATTATCCCCTAAGAATAGAAAAAATATTAACGAAGAAATGTGAAGATTGTATGTTCAAATGTAGAATTTCACATGCATGAACAATAGACAAATTTAAAAACTTCAATTGGTACCTTCCAAATTCTAAATAATGCCACTTCACTAGAAATTGGTGTACGAGGGCTTCGTATTACCTAATATTCCCTAGTAAATCAATGGTATTTCTTGCACTCAGTCTGAATGGTAGGTAATTAGAGCGAGAAACTGTTATCATAGGACTGAGGTGCTAAAGGTAAACTAAAAATCTAGAAGGTTCTAAAAGTTGTTAGCCGCTTCAAATACCACTTTCTGCTTGACTGAAGTATGTAGCTAGCAGTCATATGAAGAACTTCAATACAGAGACGATTAATCAGTTCATTTAAATACGTTTTCCGCGCAGTTTACAGAAATTGAAAAGCACGCGCACAGCAGCATCGAAACCCATATTATTTACTTAATTAACGTACGAAGTGAAGAGTAAGCGCAGTACATTAAAAAACTAAAGGAGAAGTATAAAAAGGAGTGCGGGTTGTGTCCACTTAATTGTTAATAGTCAAGATTTTGTTAACATTTAGCGTCGGCGTTAACGGTAATACTTTAGATTAAGTGCATCCAAAAAAGGGTGTTTTTTTTAATTATAAGTTTTTTGGGGTGTAGATTAAGAATCTGAAATCCGTTTTTGGCGGTCAGCATCGGAAATTTTTAATGGAACCTGTTCCTAACTGGACCTAACCTGCGAGGTTTTCGTTGATTGGCTAGGTTTTTTCTATGTTTGGAGTCCGTCCGGCGGCTGCCGCCGGACGGACTCCAAACATAGAAAAAACCTAGCCAATCAACGAAAACCTCGCAGGTTAGGTCCAGTTAGGAACAGGTTCCATTAAAAATTTCCGATGCTGACCGCCAAAAACGGATTTCAGATTCTTAATCTACACCCCAAAAAACATAATTAAAAAAACACCCTTTTTTGGATGCACTTAATCTAAAGTAATACCGCGTTAACATTTAGCGTTCGACTGCTGGGATTTCACTGTATTTGTTTTTTTCATTCGAAAAATGCCTCTATTTTTAGAAAAGTGGCAATTATGATTATAATTTCGATTACATCAATTGCCCGGATATGGCAGGAAAATCATCGAAACTAATACGACACGAACTCGAGCCTGGCGCAATTCTCACAAAAAAAAATCCGCATTGGAATTAGCTCATTGGAAAAATGTGACCAAGAAATTTAAAAGAAACAATATTCAACAAAAGTTCATCATGTCTTTGAAGAAAACGCTTTGGAGTCCAGCTCCTTCGTCAATTCGTAGATTCAAGAATGCAGATAAAATCACAAGCTAGTACAATTGAAATTCAAGGAACCGAAATCAAAACCTAAATTTACAAATCAAAGGCAAGGCACGAATAGTGCAAAACTATCTATTTATTTTTAAGGGGAAAGGAGCTATTTGCTGAATTTAAACTGGGCCTTTGTGAATTCTTGTTCATGAAATACTTTACAAATGTTAAATTTATTATTTTGTTGGTGGTAATTTTCAAAATAAGTTTTTTCTTTATATACAGACATGCTCACTGTTCAAATGCGATTGTCCTAAGTTTATCATTACAGTTATGCACGATGAGCATCTGCGCACGTAGGGATGGCGTCACATTATAATCTTTATTCTAGGGTCGCAGAGCACAAGGGCAGGAGTTGCAGGGCTGGGCAGATATTATCGCGCCCTCCTCATTCGGCTATGCGTACTTACGCCGAGCGTTGTGACGTTCCATTACCGTTTACCTGAGGCTGATAGTGATTTAAAGGTGTTAGATTTCACTTCCGGGACTTCTGATTCGCGTATTTTCAAATACTTTTGATTCGCGTCCTTGTAATATAAATTTTCAAATAGACGCCTATTTTGGATTCAGATTTAACTTCTTGACCATTTGAAAGTGTGAATAGACAAATTTCGCATTTTTTCCTGTGCTTTGTTTTTTACTTGTAAATTTAGGTGGTAATTTTGCTTCTTTTAATTTCAATTGTAATAGCTTCTAATTTTATCTGCATTCCTTAATCTTCGAACAAGCGACGTAGCGGAACTCCGAAATTATTTATATGAAGGTATGAAGAACTTTTGTGGACGTATCTTTGCTTTCAAATTTCTAGTTATTGCGGTTTAAGCAAACGAGTGACATAATGCTTTAATGTTACCGAATTCGTTGAATTCTTCACCTCTTTTGTGCCGAAATTAATACTCGAGAGAATTTTTGTAACATTAGGTAACCTAGCAAGAAAATCTTGCTACATGTTGAGAAAATTGAATGCAAGCACGCACATTGTAGTCTTCAGTGACGAATTGCATGATAAGCTGAAGCATGGAGTGTCCGCGCTTGAAATGGAACACAGCGTTGTTGAAACTTTTTATCTCGTCAACCTGCAATATTCAAATTGCTAATTTTAGTTAAAAACGTAGTTTCAAAATATGCAAATGATTTCAATTTCTTCCATTTAACTATAAAATCAAATACCTTTTAGAGTACTAATATGTCAACCACCATTTTTTCAATAATTTCTTACGAAATATTTTGATAAATTAAATTTCATTTCGAGAATTTTTAATTAAATAATGTATAAGAAACAAATAGGGTTAGGAATTTGAAAACATAAAACATGAATTTACCTGGAGTGCAATGAAATTCGTGAGATTCAAGACTGATCTTAAAGCCAAGGTATCCATGTCGGTGTAGAAACCACCGGACTTGTACACAACCGCCAGACGACACATGTCGCTGAGGTTAATGGGTAGATAATCCACGTCTTCGAATTGAATAAAATAAAATAACATTACTATGGAAATGGAAATTATTCCACTAACTCTAAAGGGATTATTCATCGGATCAGTTGATTTTCAAGAGGAAGTTACAACATGACATTTATGTTATATGTAAACATTCGAGACTCTGGCATTATTTATCATGTTATGTCAACGCATATTGTATACATATTGAATATTCAAGTTCCGAGGTTTTCAAACGCAGCTTAACTCATAAAATGTTGCAAAATTGCAGAAGTCCAACCATACCAGAAATCTCTTAGGCCACGGCCGCAGGTAGTTAACATATAGATGATAACATTCCTGCACGTTATAATTAGCCTGAATTAAAGTTTTCATGCCATTAATTATTTTGTTATTCTTAATAAATTTTGATCGGTTCGATGTTGTCTTTTCATTCAGGTTGTATAACTGGACTGAACTTTGTGAACGAATTTATCTTGATTGTGACTCATCACAATGAGAGAAAGGTATATAATAACTTCATTAAATGACAAAACAGCGGCCTCAGTCAATCTCTGCCAGAAGAACCCCTTTTCATCCGCCTCTACCCCATTGCCATGAGCAAGAAGCTAGCAACAGTGAGGCGCATTAACGTTCATTTATTGGAGCAAATTCATGGTAGTTACATCTTGCATACTAGTGATTGCTTAATTGTTTCACGCAAGAAGCGTGATCAAACCGACATCTGAACAAAATATCTTTAGCTCTGAGGCTGCCTCATCATTCATCTGCCCCCAACCACACGGTTTCGTTCATAACCGAAATATACAATCGCCACATAAATCCTATTACCCCTACTCCAAATTAATCTCTGTACCGACTCTGGCGAGCTTATTTGGCATCTAAACGGAATCTAAATTTAGCGAGCGAAAATGTGTAAAAATGTTATAGTTCGTTTCCAATCACAGGAAAAAAATCCGAAATGACCATACATTTATTTCTATAGAGATGGGCAAGGGGTACTATAAAAATATGTTTAAATTGTCTACGATAATTTTTTATGTATTACAAGAATAATTAGTGAAGGTAAATGACCAGCGAAAACATAGCGTATTGAAATATTTAGGATGAAATTAGAGGCTGATCAAGCAGTGGGTGGGCTCAGCCCAGGTTTGGTGATTTTTTTATTTAAAAAATAAATAAAAATCAAATGTTTTTTTATTTGTTCATAATTTTTTATTTTCTTGATTTTTTTTAGCTTTTTCGTCTTTTTGGAATGTTAATTTTTATGTTGCAATTAGCCTACTAACAGTAACGGTATATGGATGGCTAAAAAGGGCACTTATTGCCCCAAACAATGGCCAAGGTGGTGTTTACCACTTTGAGACTTTTGGGTAAACAATTATTGATAAGTCTATTCATTAGCTTTATAAAGTTTCTATGGAGCAAAAAACGAGCTAAATATTGACAATTTAACTGGCTTCAATATACAACAACACTTCAGGAATGCGGATCTTCTAAACATTGAAAAGTCAAATATCAGATAGGTAGCTGATAGCACTGTCAACAGTGCACAGCACTATCAATAGATCTACTAGTTTTATGTCCTATAAATCTACCTGACTCTACCCTCTAAACACACCGACTTACAGTACCTAGTGACTGAGTGACTGACTGCACTGTTCCCATTTGATTCAGCACAATTAACCAATACTAAAAAGAACCTAAACAACAACCAAACAAACCTCAAACGACTTGGAACGAGACTTGTGTTATGAGAAAAGCTAACACTGTTTGAAATAAACATATTCACAATTCAAACATTTTATTTCCATTCACTGCATTTAACTATTTTATATATAGTTTTATAATTGTAATTGTTTTGTTTTTAGTTATAAATTTACATACTTAAAGATTGGTTTTGAATATTTTAATTAGAATACTCATATTAGAGTATTCATAAAACATATCTTTCTAAATGCCTAAAAGGTCAAAACAATCTCAACCAACCCTTCTTATGTATATGAGCTAGCTAATGCATGTAAATTGTATAATGTGATTAATATATAACAGATAGTCAAATAGTTAAAGACTACTCATAGCCTTATAAGAATTAGCTGAGCTGCTAGCTATGTTATATGTACAATGCATTGCAACACTTGATGCCTCTGTACCAAAAAATATACAATTCATTGGAAAGTAATGCCCACTAAGACTAAAGGCAACAGGTTTATATTCCAATTTGTCCTAGTGCATTTACACTAAACCATGAATAACAATACCTCAAAATAAATTGAAGTCGGCCACCCAACATATTTATATATATATAACAAGGACTACTACACACAGGACATGCATAGCCTATGTCCAGCCTCTGCTAGCAGAGGCGATCGCCTACACTATGAAAATGCTGTTGTTTTAGTGGCATCAACAAATGATATGCCCATAATTGTTTCATACAATAGTATTACAATGTTAAATCACTCTCGGATGTGCAGGTCTTGAATGCTCTTTGTATGAATGCTCTTTGTATGTAATTAAAAATAGTCGAATTATGTCTGAAGTTATTGCATTTTAAATGTGTTGCCAACTAATTATCAATTCATCTTACAGAACATGATTTTAGTTGGAGAAGTAATGCTGCACGATCAACGTTCTATTCTAAATTATGAAATTTCAACATGATTGGTTTGAGTGATTTTATTAAAGTTAGATGGGAAGTAAAAGGTTGTGGGGCGTTTCTCACTTACAGATGAACTAAATTCCATTCTACCAGCGATTGATCTGGTGTCACTAAACATTTATTCGGGAGTTTATATTGCAAATTCTTTGTTTGATTTTACTAAATCAAATCCTTCCAAAATATAAACAAAATATTCGTTCTGACTCGTAAATTGTGTGACAAAATTTGCGGTTGACCGTGTTCGTCTCTTCCAGGGAGTTGAATAGAAAGAAATTTTACATTTCTGATGGCGCATTATTGTAAAGACCAATGTACAGTACAAATTTATGAGCGATTCCTAGGAAGAATTGGTAGAACTTTCATGGCTCGAAAATCGTATTTATTGAGAACGAAGTCAGATGCCCGAGCTATCTGTATTGCAACTCTAAAATCTTAATTAATCATTGACGGTATTACACTATCGTGTTTAATTTCTGAGAAAAGGATGATTCATGATGATTATTGGGCAAACTTGTCGTGCGATCTTGAGGAGAAGACTACTCTTTGCTGGATTTCGGTCTTTCGTGAATTTGTTGCAAAAATGAACGCCGTAGCTGTCCGGAAAGATCTGTGAACAAAGTTTGTTCTAAAATTGTAAACATGCATTGATTTGACATATTAATTCGAATACATAACTTTCATACAACATAACTTTTCAACATTGGAAATTTTTTTAAACCCTGCATATTTTTAACGTATTTTAGCAGTGTTTCCTTTGTTAAGTTTTTCCTGATATATTGAAAAGTTTTTGTTATTGTACATGCTAATAATGTATTCAATGTGATTAAAATGGCAGACCTCTCGGACTTTCAGAGAGGCCCAACTAGTATTTTTGTGGCAAACGCCAGCACCCGAATCGGGGTCGTTTAACAAAAGTTTAGCCTCATAAGGCTATTACTGTCATCAGGAATGGAGTAAAAACGTACTCAGCAAAATTAAAGTATAGACATATGGCACGGCGGTCTGGAAAAACCGCTGGATCCTAGCTGAACTGAATCGTTGCAGAGCACCGTAAAACCACAGATTATGATGTCATAAACCACAGTGCCGTATATAAAACCACAGTGCAAAATAAGTAGATTCAGCGTCATATACAAAAAAAAACGAATGTTCGTATAGAATAGAACTGCAAACATTTTTAATTTCACTATTAGAACTACAATCGTGAAACACACAAAGCAATCACAGAAATAGGTGCTAGTATGGATTTTTAATACAAAACAGGCTTGTATAATTAAAAATTGTTTTCCAAGAAGCGAGAAAACCTATTTTCTTCCTGACGAAACATCGTTTACTTCAGCCGAAATAAGCGTGCAATCCCTAATGCTTTCCGCCTTCGATGTTATGAATGGCCAGTAGCTTGGGCTGAAATATTTTGAGAAGCAGTTCACAATTAGAATGAATTTTGAACAAAGTAATATGAATCCAAATTGGTAGCAAAATTTAAGCATCCTTATTAACGAAATATAATTTGATTTATTATTTAAGGGTTCCCACTATTTTATGTAATGCCTGTCGGGTTACGATCTACTTTATACTATCAAGTTAACCCGTTAATTAAAATATTAGTTAAAGTTAGTCCAATTCAGTTATTGATTATAAGGCTTACGCGTTCCCACTTAATAAAGATTCCTGCAAATCCATATAGATACACCGAAGAAAGGACGTCTCGGACAAATTTACGGCCGGACTTGCAGCCGGTCTCATGGCCAATCTCCAAATTCAATGATCAAGGAATATCTCTCAAACTAATGAACAAAGCTCGGTGAAACTTGGTACACGTATTCATTAGGACCTGACGGTGATGTTTAAGTCGTGAAAATTTGTTGAATTTCGTCTTCACTCGTGAGTTATATGGCGATACGGGCCGAAATTTGCAGTGATCAAGGAATTTCTTCAAAACTACCGGTACTGAACAGATTTGAACGAAATTTTGAATATACATTACTAAGTATCAAACGGTGATGTTTAGCACGTGAAAAACTTCGATTTTGCTTCCGTTTGCTAGTTTCTTTTTTTAGTTTACCTTCATTCGGGATTTAAACAACAATGCGTGCTCAAATTACAGTGATCAAAAAATTTCTTCTAATTTCTAGATTTGAACGAAATATTGTGTTACACCTAACCTGACAACTGTGATGTTCATCTCGTGATCATTTTTTTCGATTTTGCCTTCGTTTGCGAGTTATACGGCAATGCGTATCAATGCTAATTTAAAAATCGGCCTCAGAAATGCCGGTCGTTTCTTGAGAGTCTAGCCCCTGCCTAGTGTAAGTTTCATGTAAGTCTTTCTCGACCTATTAACTAATGCCCGGTGATCTTCTATCACCATCTAGGTTATCATACGTCATCATCTTGTAGCTTGTTCTGTACCCACATGGTACTCACGCTCAGTGACGTCATCCCTGCTAAGGCCTTTATATATCTCGATCTGTGCACCGCTCGTCAGTCGTAGCGGAACTGCCTAGCCGTCACCTTTCTAGCCGCTCCTCCAGCACGTACTTGTGCTGTGCCAGTCAATCCCCTTTCTTCTGTACTCACCGAGCCACTTTATTATTATAAAAGATCTAGTGCTACCGTGCGTTTCACTTGTCCTGCCTAAAGCTGCCTTAGTCATACTTGGAACAAAAAAGTATCCTGACTCTCAGTTACAAATCTATCAGGTGGTCGTAGAAACAGACGCCTGAAACTGATATTAAATCTTATTTTCAGCTTAAGTCACTCAAGTATATGAAATAAACGAGAGAAAAGCACCGTCGACTTTTCCCTCCCCCGTTGAGCCACCACAAGTTTGTGTCAACGGGTTTGCTACATCAGGTGGCGTTATATATGATTCAAATGCACAATAAGCAGTAAAATCTCTTAAACTCAAGCCGATCTGTGCTGAGAACATGCCTGCTTCCATGAGATTGCCCGTTGTCGCAATCTTATCTGCATGCGTTGGAAAACCTCTACTTTTTGCTGATTCGTCATCGAAACGGCAAGAATCGAGTGCTTGCTTATGTTGCATTGTCTGCAAATACTTTTTTGGTACTGGTTCAATTGCTTCGCACAGTTAAAAGACAATCCGTCAATCCAGGACTCATGACCTGACTTGCGACATCTCTACAACCGGTTGCCATACCGAAAACACACACTACCAAAATAGACGTTTGGAGCCGAAGATTTGAAAAGAAAGGGCTCTCTGCGTTTTCTTTTGCCAGGTTTGAGGATTCGATTTTAGCTTCTACAGTTTTCAAAATCTTTGGGAATAGTTACTTACAACAGCATTCGGACGGTGAATGAGGGCATAGTATAGTATCTTCAGCATAGAAGAATAGGCCTGGATAGGCCTGTCGCCGATTCTTGTACTTTTCTTGAATAGTTCGCTGATCTAAAAGACTGGTACTTTGATGGAATCTTTTCAACGGACGGTAGGGTAAAATCGTTTCTATACTTTCAGCTGTTCCGTAGGGTACTAGGCATTTCATGACTAAACATGTGCTCCTGCATGGCCTTGTATAGTCTGTTCTTGAACGCGTTCAAGCTTGGGGTGTCAACAATATCGTCAGAGTATACAAAATAGAATGGCAAATGGTCGAGAATATTGACATTATTTTAGCTCAGATCACTACGCGAAATCGACACGATGAGTCACCGGGGAACGACGCGAAAGCACTCGCCTTCGCTAGCAAGCACTGAAACCAAAGCGTGCATGTCCTGTGTGTAGTAGTCCTTGATATATAACAAATCAAAACAAATCAGGATTTTTTATAAAAAAAATTCAAGTGATTTAATCATATAATTTAATCAGTTTGATTTTATCATTGCCAACCCTGACTCAGCCGTAGAGATATTACTCTCAACCTTAACCTAAAGACGTTATCAGAGAAGAGCTGTTTTTATTGCTAATCTACATTCCTAACTACAAATCTACAATGGTGTCTTTTGACTGCAGTTATGTGACAATTGACCCCTAGTTTGTTTCCTTAATTGTTTAACGTTAACTAATGTTGAACTGGACTCTTTAAATACTTTACTTACTTGTTTCCAAAAATTTTGCAGAAGTATAAAGTTTAGCAAAGGGCGTGCCATTAAAGGCCAAGCCCACATCGAGGTAGGCGAGACGAAGGTTGTGGTGGACGGCCGCTACTGCCTTCAGGTCCAACCATGATGACCCCACCAGCGACGACGACGTCACCAGAAACCAGACAACCGCACTCGGGTTAAGCGAGCACCAACTAAAGAGTTTACTGATAATTTTATTTTGTGTTTAAAATTCGGGAAAATTTTTCAACGTCGCATACAAGAAAGAAATGACAAAGCAAGTAAATAGTGTCCAAAAATAGGAGATAAACTGTTATATTTAATCGAGAACAACAATCTTCTGTTGTAAGAAAACATAAATAAAAGTTAATTTCACATAAAAATTTTTTACGTGATAACAAATTAGATAACGAATTAAATAGCCAGTTTAACTCATATATATTTTTTTTCTCTCTTTATATTTTTCTAATTCAATTGGATTTAAAATGAAATCTGTTTCAAACTCTTCATATTTTATGCTTGCACACATTCTTTCACTAATGAAGATATATGTTGTAAATAAATTTCGGGTTTTTATTGTCGTCACTGTGAATTAAATTTTTAATGAGCTCAATGAATCTAAGAAGCAAAATTTATGGCATTTTTGTATAAGTGACACTTAATTGGTTATTACCATCAATTGATTAGACTATAGGGAATAAATGATGATCATACGGATAACTTGGAAAATGGGCGACGAAAAAATTGCAATTGGTTAATAGTTTGATTTTTGACAAGTGATTTGATGAAAATTGCTCGAATTTATTTATGAAGTCACGAGTTAGCATCTTAAAACAGGCCTAACAAAAAGCTGGAAAATAAAATACTGTCAACACGTTTATTATTTAATAATTTATATTTATAATATAAGCTCTCATTTTGTTGAATGTTAAAGTAAATAAGTCAGTTTCGGTGGTAACGAGGAGAAATATATAAATAAACTTGATGTTACCCTCTGCAGGCATTTTTTTCAACTCATCAACCGTGCACGCTACAAGAGAGTAGATAAAGTTTAATGGAAGATCAGAGCTGATATCAGTGAGAATTCATTAAAAATTCTAGTTATCAGGATTTGCTCGATTGGTTTAAATGGCTACTGGGCAGTCCGAAAAGCTATAGACTTCTTTCAAAATCTTTGTGAATAACACACACGACAGGCTTACGACATTCATGTATTTTTTGACTTTCAAGGAACTTTCTATAATATATCTTACCCATTTAACATGGATATGAGAGAGCAAGTAGATAATGCTAATAAAATTACACCGACTAACCTTTCTATGACACACAGAGCTCTTGGAGTGATTGTACTTCTTGACGAGGTTTCCATAAGGAAGATATGGTACACCCCGTCTTCTGGCTCTATGTCTCTGTAAATCAAATTTAGTGCAAGAAACTATCCGGAAATCAACGATAGCCTGCTGAACAATGCGGTTGCGTATCCATGTTTGGTCGAATGATTCGAATTATTAGATCGGAAAATGTTTTGTCCAAGTACTAATAAGCCAGAACCTTTTGACACACTTTAACTTAATATGTATTTTATGCACTTAGTGATGGGTACTTATTGACAATATTAAATCAATCAGGCATAAAATTCATTTAAGTTTTACATTTGCAAAAGAACGCACTGCAAAATAATTACTGCAAAACACAAAATTATTGTATATATGTTTCGGAAGTCCCAAAATGATTTTTTTTTCATCCGAAACCAATACCGTAGTTCAAGATATAGGAGCGTATATTAGATGCATCCTTGTCCGACAACAATAAATTTCGGCACATGCGATAGAAACTGTATCAACCATACTTTGCATTGAGGAACTTCCATGGTGATGAAATCCAATAATTTGGTCTTCATTAAAAATAAACCCATGAATTTTCTACTACCTTATAGAAATTTAAAGTTGTTCAAAGTGTTTATGCATAATTTTAATACATCATTTTATTCATTTATCAATTGAGTTGTTGTTTTGCAAGTGTATGAAGAGAAATCTCGAGTTAGTAAACAGCGTGACAATGCATGAGTGTGCTGTGAAAAAGTGCACCCAATTATTTAACCAAGAGGCAGTGACATCATGCGGATCGCTTAGGAGGAACAGCAAGTTTACTGTTAATAAATTGATCGTCCACAATATTATCCGTAATCTACGTCGACAATATCTTCATTGTCAGGAGCAGCAACTTAAGCAATAACTTAAGTTATACCTCTTCATTAACCTTATATGGTCTTTCCAGTAAATAGTATCTGACTTCAGGCAGAACAATATTTCTACAATTATTTTTCTTGGATCATTTTCTGATACTGGCGCTATAACGACACTTTTTGACTAGTCAAGCAAAAAAATATTTATTATTGATTCTTTCATTCATGCCCAGTTGATGGTATCTATACAAGTGAGTTACATTCTTAATGCTTATTTGTCGCATAATAAATTTCTACGATGAAAGGTATTTCTATTCTCCTTTCACATTCACCGATGAATTTTTCCTCTATCTATCACCTTTATCATTTACTTATGAATTATATTCCCCCATCGCCGGAGAAACCTTATCGTTCGCATAGCTTACACTGAGTATAAGATCAGTTCGCGGGAGATCGGAATACTAAATAAAAATAATAGAATTAAAGGCTTATGCTCATATTTTTTGGTGCGGTTAATTCATCGTGCGTGCTGTTATAAATAAAAACTTACAAATAAAGCACAGGAATGCGACTGGATCCGGAAAAAGCGTCAACTTCCACCAACAGCTCTTCGTTTTGCAGCGCTCGCCATTTAAAAACTGAAAAGAAATTAATCAGTCATAAATGTAGGTAAGGCATAACATCATAAATTCCATCTTTAATTTTGCTGCGTGTACTGTCTGTCTGTATTCGTGCGTTATACTTCATGAATAAGAATAAGATTATTGAGTAAGACCAGGCATCAAAGGTAGCTAAATATGATACTTTTTCTGATTTTTATCAGTAGACTTGCGTTAATGCATGGCCCGGGAAATTTGTGCTTGTCGTGCTAAAAAAATTTGACAATGAGTGGGCGCGTCTAAAAGCCTGTTCCGTGGCGAAGATACCCCAATGCTTCGTTCCTTCCGTACTTAAGTACGGAAGTAGAGATGGGACATCATCATCTCTTGTCTCAATTTTCGAATCAGCAGTTGAGATATAAGTCGTGTGTACATTTTTTTATTTGATATTCGAGTCCATAAGGTGAGCGTTTCAATAGAGCTGCTCCTCAGATTTTACAGTATGTTACGGCTGATTAGAGTAGGAATTACGACTGTTAATTAGGATGTGATGCGGATAGCAAAATATAGGGTAAAGTGGTTGTTCCTTTTGAGGGGGGGGGGAACTTTGGGTCGTTTAGGGTAAAAATCGAAGCGACGCTGCGTTGCGGGTTGCGGACTATAACAAGAAGCACGGCGTACCGCGAGGCGGCGAGAGGCAATCGAGTCTGGAGACTAGTCTCGAGCGGGTGTCACGAGCGAGCTAGCCAGTTGAATATAGGCGACCGGCGTATATGTGAGGTGAAGAATAATGTTTTTAGATGCGGAAGTATACAGTATTTTGCGGCAGTTTCGCTACTCTAGGGAACGACTACGTTATCTACCGAGGAAGCTGACTGGCGCGCCTACGCGGCTGCCATCGAAGCGGCACTCGAGATGGTCCCTCCCCCCACCTCGTGTGGCGGTGAGTCGACCTTGAGAGGAGTTCTGACGGCTGCTGCCAGACAACATATCCCTGCCGGATTCCGGAAGAACTTCTCCCCCTCTGTCAACCCCGGCACCCGGTTGCTCATCGAGCAACGGAATGACATCAGGGCGCGCAACACAACCGACCCCCGGCTCCCAGAACTCAACCTGGAAATCGACATCTCCATACAGGCCCATGCCAGGAACACCTGACGAACGCATTTCGCGTCGTGCAGCAGATCCTTCGCTCCCTAGCCGGAAAGCGTAGCCGCCCTCCCCCAATCAGCCAATCCAATATGGTCTTAATTCCCTCTCCTCCTAGCGCAAGATCTCCTTCGCCTTCTGCAAACTCTTCACTTCGATCGCTCCTCACTCTCAAAGCCTCTCCACCCGCCGCCTCATACGTCGAATCAGGGACTTCTCCCCTTGCACACCTGACATGGTGAAGTTCGCCATCGCAGCTGCCAGCAACTCTTCCGCTCGAGGTCCAGACGTCCTCACGGTCCTTCACCTCAAGCACCTCGGCCCACGTGGCCTCCAGTTCCTTACCCGCATTTTTAACATCTCCGTTTCTACAGCCTCTATCCTATCCATTTGGAAATATTCAATAATTATTCCAATCCTTAAACCGGGCAAACCTGGAAACCGGGGCTCTTCATACCGCCCTATTGCCTCATACGCGGACGACCTTACCACCTTCGTGTCGTCTCCGAGGCTCGACGTTGTGCATGGAGGCTGAGCTCGCCGTGCTCCTTCGTAGCGTCTCAGATTGGTCGACTGCCAAGAAACTGGGCGTGGCTCCTGACAAGTCCTCGGTTACGCTCTTCACCCAAGATACTCACCAATCCCGATCCCACCCATCTGCCACAATCTGCAACGGCATCATCCCCCTGGATAAAGCCCCCAAAATCCTAAGTGTCACCTGGGATACGCACTTCACGTTCTCCCCTCGTGAAAGAGCCATAGCCACGAAGGCGACGGGATCTATTAGCATCGTAAAAGCCGTTGCTGGTACCAACTGGGGCTTCTCCAAGGACATTATTGTCACCTATCGAACCATCACGCGCCCAATCCTCAACTGGGAGTCAAGTTTCAGCCGTGGTCGAGAGCGGATGCTCGTGTTTTGCGGTCCCAGATTTTCAACTTTTAACTTTAACTGTGCCGTTTTCGGAACTCTTTTTGCATTTTTTTTTATGATCCGTGTCAGTGAATGACTGAATTTTGAGTGAAGTCAGTAAAAGAGAGTGCAAATAGAAAAAAAGCCTATAGTAAAAGTGTTCCCATCTGAAATAACGCGATTCGTCAGTTCAAAACACAAAATTCTGTTCAGAAAAAGTTCAGTCCTAGAAACACAAATAAATCAATTAGTGAAGTAAAATGCACTAAAAATAAATAGATAAGACATGAAAATAATGCTAGTAAACGTAAACGGCCTATCTATTTACTATTTCAAGAGGAAATGAGCTAAAAGCGGCATTCAGACTAGGCTACTGTTTGAATATATACAGGTATTCTAAAATTAAAATTCGTAGATCACTAACACCGGATGCGGAAGCTAGTATTTTGAAATCACTATCCGATACAGAGGTGTTGCACTGCTCGGCATGAACACGTACAGCAGAATGAGGTGGATGTGCAAGTAGATTCCCTGTTCTATAACTCCTGCCCTTATGCTACGTCGGTATGACGGCACGCAATTTCTATACTAGGCTGGCTGAGCATAAGGGCAGGAGTTATAGAACAGGGAAATCTACTTGCACATCCACCTCATTCTGCTGTACGTGTCTTTGCTTGTACTGTCATGCTGGTAATGCATGCACGTTCACATGAATGTGTATACATATCCAGTATGGTAGTGCAGAGGCAATAATCTCGGTGATATACCGCCGAGGTTTTTTTTAAATAAATAGTTGGAGGCGGCCATGTAAGTTGCGCCGGAGTTTCATGCACGTCGCGACTATGATAGAGGCGCTGCCGCGCACGGACAGTCTATGAAACGCGCTGCGGCAGCGTGCCGTTTAAGAGCGAACCGTCGCGCATAAAAAAATGGACATTTCGCCGATGATGCGGAGATGTTACTCGGGTGCCCCAACCGAGCGTCTCTACCTTAATCTACCCAAACACGCCGGCGATACGCCTTTGATTTTTGACAGGGTATTGCTCAAGCTCACGGCTGTCACGCTAACAATTCCGCCTGCCCCGCCAGCCTCTTAGTCTAATCATTCAGCCTGAATATATGATAGCAATAAACGATTTGTGAATAAATTTCTTCCATCCAATCCGCGTAACACTTCAAAGTATATGTAATGATTTACAGTCATATATGGCAAATAAACGCATGGCGTTCAAATAAATTTCCGATAACGTCGCAACTGGAATGAAAACTGAAAAAAATAATAGATAGTGCTTCTATTGAAATGAAAAAATGAAAAAGTAAATCCCAAACCTTCCCAATAAATTTGAATATTTTTCAGGCGTATTGACTAATGTAATTACTGATAAACCTGTTATGGATGGCTGCCCATTAAAAAAACATTTATGTACCCAAATTTCTGCTGAACTGAAATAAAATTTGTACGAATTTTAAGCTACTTAAGTACATTTACCTGAAAATCTGATGCTGCTTTGATAGCAGAATAACGAAGAAGTGAAAACTAGCATCCATATTCCAAATTTCCTCCGTCGGAGTAGCACAAGCACTGTAAATCAGAAAAATTGCACAATTATTAATCATAAAAAACATAATCAAAACAATATTTTAATAATAATTAAAAGAATTAAAAGGTTGCGCCATAACTCAAGCGACAGAATACCAATTTTTGTCCAATCCAGAAGTTATGCGCCAGCAAATTTATAGCTATTTTACATATAAACAAATAGCTGGAGAAAATTTTTTATAATATATTTCTATTTTCCATATTTTATGCCTTACAGATTATTAATATGAACAAAATCATTCGTAGACGAAACGTTTCAAGCATACATTATCAGTTAAATTTGAGAATCTTGAAGAACCAAAATTGAAGTGAAGATATAGTATTACCTTCCAGATGAATCAACAATTACTCAGTGCGGAGGAAGGTTGGACCAATATACGAGCGATAGACAAAATAAGGGAAATACCTGAGAAATTCACAAAATAAATTTTAGTATAGTGTAGGTCAACATTTTGCGGCAATTACAGCCTCAATTGTCCGAGTTGTTGATTCATACGAATTGTGAATTTTTTACAATGGAATTTTAACCCATTCTTCAGTTGAAATACCCTCCAGCTCCTTCAAAGACGAAGGCGGCGGGAATTGATTCCTGACTGTATATGTATATAATCGACCATAAATGCTCTATAATATTCAGGTCAGATGATTGTGGTGGCCAAATGAGATACTTAACTTTATTAGAATGTTCCTCGTGCCATTTTTTAACAATATACCAACTGTGTGGATCGGAACATTATCTTCTTTAAAGATGCTGTTCCTCTCCAGAAACAGTGCTTGAACCGTTGGCTGAACATGGTCCTCCAAAATTCCTAATCACGGCTGTTGATTCTTCCATGAAGTGAAATCATTGGTCCGAAAGATTTCCAAGAAATAGCACCCCAGATCATCACAGATACCCCGCCATGTTTCAATGTTGGTTGGAGGCTGTCGGGATTAAATGAGTCTTTGGGCTGTCTCCAGACTTAAACTAGGCCACAGGTTGGAAATAAGGTAAACGATTATTATAGGACGATGATTATAACAGAAAAAAATCACATTTTACGACTGCTCGAGGGACCAATCTGGAGGTTTTTACACCACTCTAAACGCTTTGAAGAATTTGTATTTGAAACTAGAGGTGATCTAAATGCATCCCTTCCATAGAATTCAGATATGTGCAGCTCTCGGCGGACAGCCTTTATGGAAACAGGGTTTGGTAGGTGTCCATTATAAGGGCAGCAGTAATTTTAACAGCCGTTGTCTTTCGATTGACCCTCACTATTCGATTAAAGTACCGACGGTCTCTCTGGGACAACTTAGACTTTCGGCCAGGCCTGTGCTCTGCTGAGAATATTTTTCCTTCTCTT